TGAAGGTGGGCGGTCGGAAGCTCTCGGGCTCCAGGCTGGGCTCCGAGCGGTAGCTGGGCTTGTGGCCGCCCTCGCAGATGGAGTTGGGCTCCTTCAGGCTGTTCACTCGGCTCAGCTGCAGGGCAGGGGCACAGCCATCACCCACAGAACGAGGTGATCCCTGCAAAGCTCCTAACACTTTCCCACATCCTCACTCACCCCCCTGGGTGCCTCCCTTGTCTGGCACAGCCTTACCTTGGCGCTGGTGGAGTGAGGCAGGGCGGCCGAGCTGCTGCTGCTGCTGTAGCCAGGCCGGTACTTGTACATGGTGGGGGTCGGGGGGCTGTCCTTGCCTAGCAAGCTGCTGTCTGCAGTGGGGTAAGAGAGAGACGCTCAGAGCCACGGCAGCTCCCTGGGGCTGTGCATGGAAGGAAGGAAGGAAAGGAAGGGAGGAAGAAATGGTGTGCAGAGCCCTGCCCACCCTTCCCAAGAACCAGCTCTGAGCCTGGGGAGGACAGACCAGAGGTGCAGATGGAGGGAGGGGTGGGCTGGAGGAGCAGAGCAGGGTGGAAAATGTGTCCCCACGGCAAGAGTCAGGGGCCTGCACTTCCATGCCCAGCAGCCCCAGTGGGGTGTGCCCTGCATGGAGGTGGCAGAGGGTGCTTGGGCACCCTATGAGCCCGCTGGCTGCTGGCCCCACGGACAGACATGCCCCAATCCTTCTCCAGGCTGCTGGGGGGACAGGGAGAGCTGCAGAGGCCTCCAGCCCACTGCAGGAAGCAGGTGCTTCCAAGCTCTGCCCTTTGCATCCCACCTCTCTCGCCAGACCCACACAGGTGACTTCGAGCAGCTGCGCTGGCGCTCCGGGAAGTGGGAAAGCAAGTCACGGAGGCTGCCAGGAACATGCTCCGTGCTGCCTGGCCAGGCCCACCTCTCCTTTGCCTCCATCCTTCGGGCGATGCTCCCGCAGCCGCCAGCCTGCCCAGCGGGATGGCCCCACAGGCTCCTCCGAGGGGAAGGGCTTCACAGAACAGACCAGAGA